TCTAAGTTCATGCAGTGTAAGTTGCTGGAGTTTTCAGCTGCTTTCTCTTCTACACACTGCTCCAACCACTTAGGCCTAGACTTCTTTTAACAAGTCAGTGGAACCGATTTTGCAGCATTAAAGAGAGCACCACATTTCTCGCGTTATTTTAGATAAAAAGAATCAGCAAAGTTGATAAATGGATCTTCACCATTAGAATGAAAAAACTTTTCTGCTGAGAATAGTACCGGGAAGTAAAAACCATACCTGTCTCCACAGACCTTAGCATTAGACAATATTTGCTGTCTGCACTATAAAGACACAGAAACTTCCGTCAACTGGCAACTCCAGCCCTCAGCACGTGAGAAGGGCCTCCCCTAGCACTAAAATTGGCGAGTCCTGTCAAGACTGTTTCAAGGACACAATGGCATTAAGAGACAGCTCATGTTAGAAGTGCCCAAAGCTCTCAACCTCTGTTTAAATGGACAGACGGTGAATAAAAAACACAGAGCGTTAAAACATTCATTACTTCAGCCCAGCAATTCCCATCAAAGCGCAATAGAGACGTAACAATGCGCTGGCTTTCACGACATGCTCTTCCTTCAGTCCTGAATACACAGACACATTTGGCTCCATATCGACATCTGCTTCTTCAACAATATGTGTGCTGCGAACCGTGGGAAGGATTCCCATGAGCTCCAGGAGCAGCTGTCTCCTCATTTGCCAGAGCACAGAACTGATATTATCTCTTTTTCTCTGTGTAAGAGGTTAAAAGATGAGAACAACAATGTAAAATTCATCCCATCAAACAATGTATTACATAAGAGCTTCCGTAATGATGAAGTCAAGGGAAAAAAAGAAGGGGGGGGGGAGAGGAATTTTTTTTTAAATCCAATTTTCAGTACCAGGGCAACAGGCAACACATGATCATATTACAACAGCTTATTACATCAAAACACCAGCTTTAACTAACTCAACTACCTAAGCAAGTCAAGACGCAACTTCCTATTGCGAACACTGAGGATGAACATATTTATCAGGTAGATATTACAAACTTACAATTCCCTGGTTTCCATTCCTACTGAATCATCTACCTGAAAATCTCCCAGAGGAACAACCAAATAGCTGCCTTCAGGGACACTATAGACCTGATGGTCCTATAAGAAGACATCGCCTTGTAAAGGTTGCTCCAAGACATGCAACAGGATTTATATGCATCCAGACAAATACGGGTGCCCACATCCAGGAGAGTTACAGCAAGCTGTCAAGAATATTTTTTAAAAAGCAGAATATTTAAAGATTTTCATACCTGTTGGCCATTTCGGATAAAAGTTCCAAACCAAGTTCGAACTTTTGCGTTTGTTCCAAGTAGCAAACCACTCACAAAACACACCAGGTCACTCACTCCATCATCTGAAGCTTCATTTTTGGTGTGATCCAAGGTCAAAGCCACACCAAGACCTGGTAGATGACACTCTTCCACCTAGATAAAATGCTCAGGCTCAATCATCTTTTTTGGCTTTAAAGCTCCAATAAGGATCATCATTATGATTCTCACGACAGACTAACGACAGACTTACCACCATGCCTCGGACCCTTAAAGCTTGGGAAGGGTTCATTTTACACAGGTGGCGAAGTGCTTCTGTTCTACGACGGCCTCCAACACTTTCCTCGTCCTGCCGTTCACCGTTCTTAATCAAACCTCTACAGACTAAATATCCAACAGGAGGCGTGAGTAAATCTGACCTTTCCAACAGAAAGCCACATAAACATAAACACACAAAGCCAAGCCATTCTGTTCAGCTCACTATGATTTATCAGCTGGGCCACACAAATCTTGTCTGGGCAAGAACTCATGATCTACACTATATAAGCAGAATAAGGAAACGGTCTTTCTCCTCAGAGGAATTTCAGGGTCATTGCAGATTTATGCATCATCCAATTACTACTCATACTCTATCCAATGTAACCCGTGCATCTGGCAGCCCTGGAGACCGAAATCTTATTACGAGGTGAGGGATGCTAAACAGGCAACGTCAATACAAATTTTTTCACTTCCTAATATGGCTCCGTCTGAGGGACAAGAACTATTAGCAAGCCTAGACCAGGTTCGCAGTCCCAGTCATTCACTGCCCGAGTCAGCCTTTATAAAGGTGACCTACAGATGAAAAGCTGCAAGATGCACACAGTGAGTCTACGAGTAGGCTGCAAAAAAGGGGAGTCAACATGATGAGAACGGGAGCCTATCAGCACCTCTAGGTATAAATGCATTCAAATCGTATTTCGTAAGCCAAACGCTCTCCCGTGCAAATACGTACGAGTCGTGGTGTAGCCCATTCGATATTGCTAGAAATCATTTCAAACCTTTAGAAAAAGTAAGCTGGACAAGAAGAAACTGTAACTCACCCTCATTAAAGCTATCAGGAACATTGGCCACCAGAAGGCAGAGGAACCAGGCTCCATTTTTCACGTGCAACAGAGCTTCAGCCACATCAACTATTGGCAACAGTGATGGCAGCTCTAGATACAAAGTTTTCAAAGTTACAGCATTTCACTGTGAAACAAGTAAAACCTTGCTTTTAACATGTGTTTCAATAACACGCTCAAATCAATAAATGGAAAAATCAATCTGTGATCTATTCCTTTTCAACGAGCTAAACAGCCTAGATTAACCTTAAATCAGTCACAACAGCTCCAAAAGTTATCTTTTTACATTTGTAAGAAGTTAGAAAACACTATAAATACAGAATACTACACCTGCTTGCAAAATGCAGAGAACATCTGCTGCCTCCTCCAGATAAACAGGACTCTCGAAGAGCTCAGAAGATTTGAGAAAAAACTCGCCATTTGATTCTGACACCTACGAGACATTATTCATCATCACTGAACAGGTTTTATGAAGCAATTTGTCTAATCAGTCTTCTATGGCTTTCAATTCAGCAGATCGAACACATTAAAAACTGTCAAAAATGTACAGCTGTAAATACAGAACAGGCAAGAAAAGTGTTTAGCATAAGAAATATTCACCAGTGGAAATACTTCAATACAGCTAGTATCATTGCTTCTTTCCAGAAGAAAGAGAAATAGCTCAATGACAATTCTAAAAACATGGTAAGTTTACACAAGGAAAATAAAATGCTGGGGGGGGCGTGAGGAGGGGCAGTAAGAGAAAGACGGTGGCTCATATCATACTGCAATAGGAGTAAAGAACTGGATGGAGAAAAGTCGTAATTCCATTTTCGAATATGATTTCTGCACTGATGCATCACAAAATCACATTATATTTGAGCACAGCATATTACAGAATATACAGAGTCTGTATCGTATGAGAAAAGATTACTCTCGTTTGTTCTGAGGAAGACAGCCTTCCTCTAGGAAGCTGGGTTCATAAGGAGTTTAATCACAAGCCACCGTTCAACCAGAGTGAGACTTCACGTCTTGGTGAAGCAGGTAGGAACCGGAGAAGAGTACTCACACACAACGGCAGCACCAGAAACAGAAGCAGACAGCACATCAACCTATCCAGAGTGCATCTCCACTGACATACAACTCACAGGCATCCAGATATGGAGAAATTTACCTTATTCATAATTGCTAGTAATTCGCTAAGTACGAGACGAAGCCGACGAGGCGAATCGCTGTGTTCAAATTCCAGTGTCAGCCCATGCTGAAGCTGCGACACCAGGATGCTTTCTCCACTACCTCCTCCTAGCTTGTGCCTAACAGACAATTAAAAACAACTATTAAATGTTTCTGCAAACACAGAACTTCTGCCAGTTAAAGGAAGACAGTAATTCTGTAGGGATTTCTTCTATCGCGCCAACGACCAGAAAAGACTGTTGTAACTGTAGTGCATCACGAAATCTAATTCAGCAGATTATCGACGTTTCAAGGGCCTCTGTTCCCCAGCAGCGCAGACAACGGTCACGAAAGCGCAGCCACCTGCTCTCTCTCTTCGCCTCACCAAGGAGCGCCAGCCACCTCCCTGCCCTCTCTCAGGCGGGGCAGCTCCCTGCAAGCGCACCCCGGGGGGAGAAGCTCCCCAGGAAAGACCATTAACCCCGGCTCCCCGTACGTTGCTCTGCCGCGACTCGGGGGTTCTCCTGAGAGATTATCGAGGGGCGCGAACCGGGAGCGGCACACGAACGGCCGGGTCAGTCCGGCCCTTCCAGGGGAACAGCTAGAAAAGCCACACCGCGGCTTTCGCCACGGAAGACGCCGTTCTCTGCGTTACCGGAGCTGCTGCTCTTTGCTGGCATCCTGCTCCAGGGCGTGGAAGTCCACGGACAGCAAGGCCACGATGGAGTTGACCGCCTCCACCCCCGAGAGGAGCCGCAGGATGAGCTTCTTGTCCTGCGCCCAGCTCTGGCTCTGGTCGGCGGGGGCGCAGAGGGCCATGCGCACCAGGCAGGGCAGCAGCAGCCGCAGCTCGGGGTCGCTCAGCGCGGCCAGGCGCACCACGTCCACCTTCTGCATCGCCTCGAAGGCGTAGGGGCTGACGAACTGCAGGCCGGTGCACTCCGCCATGGCGGCGCCGCCTCACGGCCGCGGCTCCCCGCGCCCAAGCCGTCGCACGCCGGGGGGCGGCAAGG